CCCATACAACCACGGCTGCCCCATCCGCCAGCAAAGCCAGGAGGCAGCAGGGAGCCACCGTTACCTCCTCCACCCTCCCCGGGTGGTGAGCCAGCCGAGGAGGGAGGAAAGTGTCACTCACGTTGTCCCGTTGGTCTCCCCGAAGCGCTGGTAGGACTCGGGGTGGGCGAAGCCGTTCATGCCGCCGGGCGGGCTCCCCTCTGGCGTGACGTCCGTGGAGCTGTAGTCGTTGTAGTCCTCGCTGCGGAGGCGCCGGGTGGACATGGTCCCTGTGGAGGGAGCAGCGTTAGGGGTGCCCAGCTCAACAGCCCCCATCTCAGACTCCTTGGGGTCAGCCATCGCGCAGAGAGACCGGCTCGCACTGCCAGAGCAAGGTCTCCTCCAGGACTTTTATACAGCAACACGCTCCCACCCAAGCAATCAAGAAGCTGGCATGTCCTAAGGTCAAAGGTGCATGGCACGTTCCCACTGGCTCTCCCTGCAGTCTCGTGCTGCTGTTTTGGGCACACCCAGGCAGGACGGGCTCGGCATCCTGCAGGCAGAGCCTGGATGTGACCCGCCTCGTGCCGGGCGAGGGACCCATGCACCGCTGCTCAGGGGCGGTGAGGGTGGCACCACAGCCACACACTGGCAGTGTCCCCAGCCCTGGTGCTCAGGACTGGGGCTGTCAAAAGGACGGCCGGGAAAGAGCAACTGCTTTTAACCCAACACAGTTTGCTGCAAGGGAATGGCCTGCTCTTGCCAGGGAAGGGAAAGTTTCCTAACTTTTCTCTTCTCTTTTTTTTTTTTTCCTTAATTGAGGACTTTTTATTAAAAAAATTTAAAAAATTTGATTATGCTCCTTCAGGTGGGAGCACAGCCCACGTGCCGACAGCAAACCACCTGCCCCAAAGGTTTCACAGCCATGGAGGTGCCTACGGCACTAAGGGTCTTCCCAGGATGAGGCACCTGCACAACCCGGAGCTCTTGCTCCAGCAAAAACCCCAGCAAGGTCCTGCAAGTCAGGAGCAGTGGCACAAGCCCTCACCAAGGACACAAGCCTCCTGCCTTCGGCTGGGAAGAAGTCAGCTGGTTTAATTCCTACACGTGCCCTGAAGAGCTCCTGCTGCTTCTGCACAGCCTGCCGCTCCCCTCCCAAAAAAGGCCTTTTCTTCCTCCAGCCCCCTGGCCGCACCCAGCACCCCGAGCGCCCGCCGGGAAGGAGCACCAGAGGCAGGGAAATTATCTATCAGGCTCCTGCCACACAGCCTGGAGACTCAGTCCCTGCCCCAAAGCTCCTCTGGGGTGTCATGCCTCAGGCATCACCCCCACCCCAGCGGTCCCGGTCCTCCCCGTCCCGTCCCACAGCGCTGGTGGGGAGCTGGGCCGGGGCCAAGCGGAAGCAGCAGAGAAATATCGCTACCGCAAACGGCCTCGTTTCCTGCCAGAGGGCTCCTCAGGCACCCGCCAGGTCACGCGAGCGTCCGCAGGATGCGGCCCCGGCACAGACCTAAACATTTGGCTGTGCAGGGAAAGCTCAGCCCAGGCTGCTCGGGTCCTGCTCCATCCCCAGAGCCCCCAGGCATTCCCCGCCCCGCCAGCACCGCTCTCTGCAAACCTGGCTGCTACGTGCAAAAACAAGCCAAGAGCTGCAATCGCTGGGAGGGTCCAGCCTTGCGACCAGGAGGGAAGTAGGGAGCAAGGGCTTTGCTCAACTCTGGATGCTTGCTCCAGATCCCAGCTGCTCGGAAGCAGTTACGCAGGCCGCAACAACACTCCTTTATTTCCTGCAGCACCAGGCAACACCGGCAGCAGAAAGCAGGGCTGGTCCGTCCCGCACAATACCAGCCTCCGGAGCAGTGGTTGAGTCCAGCCCAGGCAAGCCGGGATGCAGACAGGCACTCCAGAGCTGAAGGCAGCACATGCATCGCTCCTGCCCAGCCTCCTCCCTCACAGCCGGGCCACGTAATCATGCCCTGAACCGGCTCCGCCACAGGCAGGGCGATGCGGCGAGGCAGGGACCAGGAAGAGCAGCGGCATTAGTTTACACAAGGAAAGCGTTAGAAGCTATTTGTCATCGGCGACGGGCCTGAGGGGCAGGGGAGATACTCGGGAGGCTTTGCCAAGCACCAAGGGCTGGTAGTGGGCAAGGACAGCAGGCAGAGGGGGTGCCAGGGTCGGGTCGGGCATGGATACCCCTCCCCAAAGATGGCCTGCACGTTATCTGAAGTACCCAACAGCGACGTCCTCCAGATAAAACACAACACAGTTACATCAGTCTGCCTGATCGCTTCCCATGATTTTTATTTTTTTTTTTTTCCCCCAAGCAGGCCCGGCTGCTTTTTGCTTTGAAGAGCCAGGGAAATGCGTTCACTGTGACTTGCCTTCTTTGTGTCTGGATTAAAGGTTGCATAGCAGCAAGGAGCGAGCACTCAGCTCCCCCGCAATCAACAAGAAGAAGCTGCAAAACTTGTCTCATCCACACGATGAATATTTCAATTTTAAGCAAAACCCCACCAGGGAGCAAGCACTCAGCTCCCCCGCAATCAACAAGAAGAAGCTGCAAAACTTGTCTCATCCACACGATGAATATTTCAATTTGAAGCAAAACCCCACCACATCATTTCCTCGTCATTACAAAGAGCAAAGACGGGAACAGCCACATTCGGTTTCCACTTTAAACCCGACTCCTCAGCCGCTTTCATGTGCATATTTTTTCTCCCTACGCACACAAGCAATTTCATCGTGGTGAGCGAAGCGCCTAGGAAAGCTGGGGCGGGGATGTGACACCAATTTGTACCTTAGAGTGACAACCCCACGCCAGAAGTCAAAAGCAAGATGCAACTTGCTGCTGACCCTGACAGCTCTCCCCAGCTGAGCAGGGGCTGCATGCAGAACGGGCAACACGAAATCTTCCGGAAAAGTGAGCTGCACAGCAAAACTCACTGCCGCTTCCCATCACGCGTGCTGAATCCTTTATTTCCAAAGTGCTGCTTGTAACCCATCTCAGCGTGACACAAGGGAGAGCTGGCGCTGCCAGATCCCCCTCCCGCCTCGCCCCACTCCCCTGCCTGCAGGGAGGCTGCAGCCGAGCCGCTTTCCCAGGCCGCCGTGCCCACGCCGGCACGACACCTCCCAGACATGACAGTCACACCAGCTGCGTCCCCACAGCATCGGTCCTCTTGTCCCTGTGCTACCCGGTGCTCCCGTGGCCCCAGTCACCCCCAGTGCTTCGCAGTGTGGCCTGGTTCCCCCCGCCCGGCTTCTCCCCACAGGGAGGCTCAGCACAAACCTCCCCCAAGCCCCCGCAGATGCCGCCCCAGCCGCGCTGTGCTGCCCCACTCCCCCCACCACCCTGCGCCCCCACACAGCAGCACGGCTGCACCCCGCAGAGCGTGGGGCTCCCTGCACCCTCCAGCTCGCCCTCCCCGCAGTGCCACACAGCACCCCGCACCCTTACCAGCGCCTCACACCCTGGTGCGCACTGCGGGCAGCTGTGCCCCCCACACACTGCACGGCACCCCCAGACACTCCGAGGGGAACCCCGCAGGCTGCCAGCACCCCCGCAGGGCACCACCAGCACACACCCCTGGGTGCCTATGCAGAGTCTAGGCAGACCCATACACTCATGTGGGCTCCGGGCACCCTGAGGCACCGCTGCAGGCTGCCAGGACCCCCAGGGACCTCTGGGCACCCCGGCAAGCTGCCAGCACCCCCCTGCACCCACTCAGGCTCTGAGTATCCCCACACACACATCGCCACATACACGGGCGACCAGCACCCCCAAGCTCCCCTGAGCACCCATGCGAGCTGCCAGCACGCTTCTGCACCCCTGAGCACCCATGCCTGATGCCAGCACCCGCAGGGACCTCTGAGCACCCATGCAAGCTGCCAGCACCCCCTACACACCCGGCCACGTATAAGGGCTGCCAGCGACCCCCCGGGACCCTGTCAGCGCGCCCAAGCTCCCTTGAGCATCCACGCGGGCTGCCAGCTCGCTCCTGCACCCCTGAGCACCCACGCGGGCTGCCAGCTCCCCCCGGGAC